GAAATCATATCTTCGCGTCAACGAAGGTGACGTCTCCCCCTACCAGGTCGATGAAATTGCTCGTCTCCTTACACAGGCCGCATTGTTTGCACGGGCCATGTCGTAGAACTGGGTTGGCACGACATTGCCTCACCGTACTGTCATCATAAAGAGCATCCGCGTGACGGTCTTCATTCGCGACGTAGGTGGACTCTCTAGCTTGGCCCACGTCGGTTCGACTTTGGGTTATGTAAAGCTAGATTTTCCCCGTGGTCGCGGGTTACGTAAAACTATGAAAAATTACATAATGGAACGCGATACGATAGGACGACGGATGATGACACATCGACTGGAGATCTGTCGTTGGAAGTAAAGCGCAAAAATACAGTGAAAGTCGTCGTTCCCGTGACAAGTCGTTCGACCGTTTCTAACTGCGCGTTATTAAACGCAGAACTGGAAGAGCACCACGCGATCCGACGTTTCCTTCACGCCCTATCCGACTATTTTGCCAACTTCTTCTGGCATTCCTGTCTCTGTCCCAATCCGGATCCAAGGATCATATATTTTTTACACGGATTGTTCACTCTTTCTACTTTTACCCTTCCTATATGTAAATGAAAATACCAATTGAGGTTTAAATAAATTTCTGTTGAAAATAAATAACAGATTCAACCGCCAAAACTAATTTTTACCAAGCAGTAATAAATGTTAGTTTTGAAGGAACAAAAATCCGTGGGAAAAGGTCGCAAGATCGTGTGTCTGAAAACGTTTCCTTCTTCTAGTCACACACACTTTCTGTCTGCGGTTGACGTTTCTGGGAACTACCGGCGAACATAGAGATACAAGCGCTCGTATCATTTTCTTTATCTTATTAGATAATAGTAGCAACACTTGTTGCAATGAAATATAATATCAGAGAGTAGAAGGCGAAAGTGTATGATTAATATCCTTAGATCGATTCTCTAATGGACTTTTCAAGCATTTTGGCAGGTCTATCTCGGAAAGGCGTCCCAGGTATATAATAATTGTAATAATAAATCACATTGCGATACAAAGAAAAAAAGACAGATGGTTATTTAAGTACTTAGGATTTCTACGATCACTTTTTATTCCAGCTTTTTTAAATAATAATTCAAATGGATACTGTTTTATTGAAGTGGAAGAAATCTATTTTATTTTAGCTCCAAACAGGGCAGACACATCGTGGAAAACCGCACGATATAGGATAATCATTGAATGTTACGTTCTTTGTTAGCCATGGCCTGCGTTTCTCGCGATCCAGAACCGCTCGATTTCCTTAGGCGGCTTTAAAATCAGCGAAACCGAGCGGACAATCACGCCGCCATTGGAATCGCCTGTTCCGATCGTATCGAAGAGCCCACGATCCGCGAGAGAAACTTCTTTAACGATCCAACGATCAGCTAGTATTTTTCGCGGAAATGTTGCAAAACGCCTCGTCTCCAGGCGTCATTTGCATATACTTTCGAGAAATTTTAGTCATTCCAACGAATTTTACGTCAAGAGGGGTAACGAACGATGCAGTATAACATTTGTAAAATACTACAACGTCTTGGAACTGATCCCCAGCCATATACTGTCTCCCCGATTCGTAAGTTGTAGTTTATTCGCATTCACTAGTCTCTATTCTATTAATACACATGATATTGCGTGACGTTAATGAGCGTGTAAATTACTCTTCTTAGTGGAGCTTAACCTTTTCGTGCCCGCATATTGATTCTTTGAATGCTATTTTTGGATGCACATCAGTCTGTATTGTGTAAATTAGTATTGAAGGTAGTATTAAATTTTTTTTGTGACATATTCTCTTCAGAATGAATAGAATATATGAATATGATTATTGATTATAGCTACACACTGTTTTAATAGTAATATCTGTAACAATGTATCGAATCGAGAAATCTCCTGTAATTAATTTTCTTATGGATATTAGTGGCACTTTCTTGGAGCAGATGGTATCGCTTAATAAAATTAATTCTAGCTTGCCAAGCCTGTTATCTTGACAAATATGTCACCCTTAATAAGGGTTTATCAAGGACCTGTTGCATACTCTACGATCCATTTGCAATGTAAAAATAAAATTGCTACAGCCACTACGAATCAATTGGTTGTATTATTCACGTTTGATCTTCCACTCTACGTAGCAGCGAAAATATTAGTTCCACTGTTTCCCCTATGTATTAAAACAAACATAAACAGTGGATAAAACGATCCATGCTACTCGCGCTCTCACGGAGTCGGAGGCTCGTTACAAAAGTTACGTTATGATTGAAAAGTGTAAAAGCTTCTCAAGCATGTTCGCGGCAGGAAAGCTCTCTAAGTATGGTTGTATAGAAAAAGAATTCGCATACCGAGCGTGCGGCATAATTCATCCGAGGAAAATTTTTACGTCACGATGTACGTTCGGTGCAGGATCGTAAATAATGCACGCCTATGCCAGTCTCAGACGAGGCCGACCGCCTGGCGTGCGACCGGATAGAATGGTGAATTACAATACTATAACCCTTTATGTACACTGTCCATAGTTGTGCAGGGTAGTTAAATATTGAAAAGCAATTCTTGCATCAGCCTGCTGGCATCCGACACCCACACCTAGGCACAAAAATCAGCGTAATTGAAAACGCGATAGACTTACTGTAGAATGTACAGGGTGGACCAAAGGAGACCATTGTCTCTTAAAATCACATCGTTATCTAATATTCTAAAGGACAACCAAATTGGTAAAGCAGGAAAAGTGGACCTGTGAAGGCTGACCAAAACGTCTGACCAAGAACGACCGTATCTCCTTCCTTTCTCACGCTATCATTTAACATTCAAATGCTTTCGAATCTACAAAAAAAACAAAGAATTAGGAAGAAATATTCTACGTAATTAAACCAAAAATCTCCCCTCTCACAGTGCTTTGAATTTGCTCAATAATTAAATATCTTTCAAGCACACTATAATTATAAAATAATTTGTAATTAATTTTTATTACAAATAAATGAATATGTCACCTCAGAAAATGCACGAATCCCTACACTTTCTTGCCAACCTTGTATCGTTTTCCTCAAACGAGGTCATCGAGCCTCAGCATCCGAAGAAGTTTTCATCAATATTAAAAGTAACCGTTGCAACGTTTTAGTCGACGAATATGGCAAGACAGGTGCCACAAGATTTCTGAAATTCATCGGGAGAACGTTACCACAGATCAACATTCTCGTTCAGCGGTCGTATGCGCAGTCGCGAGCGTATTTCTGGTTCGGAACGCTATGCAATCCGAAATTCCAGGGTGCTTGATTTTTTTACTGAACCCGTACTCTTGCGATTTTTGCGCGTCGAGAACCGGTTCGTGACCGATTCGTGCGCGGAAAATTCATCGACACATGCTCGTTTATTTGCATCAGAGGAAATCATTTTTCACTGGTCTACCGTAAGGCTCCGCAACGGGACACGATTTTCAAAGGTACACGAACAAAGTTAGCGAAGATTTTAGAAGATGCTAGAGTCAGGGATACAACAAAAAAATATTTGGAACTTCGAGAGCGATCTAGGAAACGATAAATTAAATTGAAATTTAAATAACTGTTAGTATTAAATACAGGTAAAATGAAGAAGAAAGTTTCTCGAATTCGAAAATCCGTCGAAAAAAGATGGAATACAAAAATATATAAATAACGATACGGACCAGTTCCATAATTGGCTTAACTGGCCACGGTTTCGAAGCATCGACGCGTAGTGAAAACTGCTCGCAGAAATAACTCGAGCGTCGCAGTAATTAAGGGGAAAATACTGCAGGAGGAAATGTACGGAGTGCTGGTACGACCATCAAATTACTTTGTTCGCGCGTTAGTTCCATTACCCTGCACATTTATAAACGCAACTGGCTGCCGTGATAATTAATGAATTAAACGGTGTTTATGATACCAATAATTACAGCGAGTAATAACAGAGACAAAACTCAATTTCCAGCACGACAAATACCTCACATTTTGTCATCTTCCCATGAAACTGCAATAAATAATTTTATTTATTATTATTTTTCGACCCTTGCACTGAACTCCTACAACCCTCTGTACTGCAAATAATTCGATACCAAATAAAAAGTTATGAAAAATCGAGTAATATTTTGCTCGGCACTACCACCTTGATCCGAGCAATCGCATCACGTGAATTCGACCAATTTCTTCCAGTCGGTGAATCGCATTCTTTCGCATACTTTCATGGCAAAACGGGCGAGCATGCTCGAGATAAGTGAGCGTTTTTAGTTCGGCAAACGTGCTACGCGACTCGGTAGCGCGTTCCAACCGTGGACACTTTTCCTATTAAACCGAGAAGTAAACACGGATCGCGGGTTTTATGCGTCCTATGAAAAACGGTCGAAAACATTTCGAATTTCTTGCTCGTTTCTACTTTCTTTGGATACTCGTTTCAACGCGTTGAAGCACTCGTACCCGCGGCGATCAATCTTCCATTGTATGCGTAACGTTTCTATCGTATGTGTAACATTCGATGAATGATCGTAGTTGCATAATTTATGATCATCGAGTTCTTCAATACTAGATCATGCATTTTCGCGGGGTAAACAAGCGCAGTATATCTTCTGTCTGCATGTAATTGCCCAATTTTGCTGCACTATATTTTATAGTCACTCCGACGTGCTACTTCTTGTCTGTTGGTTTACGATGGTGCTAGGAACGTGTATAAACATCTCCGTTATGTATGATTTCCTTTTCACGTTGCGCGCTTTGTCAGGAGTTATGACATTTCTGTGTGATCTCGTAAAAGTACCACACGACAGTAGTACTTTTTTAACTTTTTTTACTCTTTTAACAGTAAACCTACCACGACCAGTCAAATGACCGTTTCCAAATATTTATTTACAGTTCTTATTGTTTATTATTACCGTTATTACAAGTGACTACTACTACTACTTACTACTTAAAACTTACTACTTAGTACTTATTACTGCTTAAAATAGAAAATTTCATATCAGCTTAACAGTTTGCTGTTGTTGTTTACAGATGCAGTAGTCGACCAGACACCAGCGTCTTCTTTCTGGACTCCCACTCTCAAGACGGGGAACGTGTTCACCGACGACACGAACTTTTTCCCCTCGAGCCACGGCCTGGTTCAAACCCATCCGAATGCTAATGTATTCCGAAGCGGTTTCGGTGGGATTGATAACCTAGGCAGCAGAGGAGCGACTGTCAGACCACCGAGAATGAGACCTCTGGATTACAGCGAACGTGCCACCGCCGAATTGCGACGAAATCCTGCGCTTTCGTCGCCAGACGAGTGCGCCAGGGCCTGTCGCGAGAACGAACCTCCAAGGATATGCTACTATCACTTCACTCTTGAATATTACACCGTGCTCGGAGCGTAAGTACTTCCTTTTACCATTTCAATCTATTAATTCTCAAAATCTAATTCGTGCAACATACGGCTCAATTAACGCAGTCCTTACAGTTCTTTTCGACAACATTCATGACCATCGTTTCCTTCGACCCACAGAGCCTGCCAAATCTGCACCCCCAATGCAACGAACGTCGTCTGGAGCGACTGTCAGTGTGTCTTGGCTGACGGTGTGGAAAGAGGTATCCTGACAGTGAACAGAATGGTTCCAGGACCTAGCATTCAAGTCTGCCAGGGTGACAAGGTCGTGATCGATGTCGAGAACCACATCGAGGGAATGGAAGTAACCCTCCACTGGCACGGTATCTGGCAAAGAGGAAGCCAGTACTACGACGGTGTGCCATTTGTCACGCAGTGTCCCATTCAAGAGGGTAGCACGTTCAGGTAATAAATCGCAATAACATTCTCCTAAAATTCAAATTGAAATAATAGAAATAAATCGATCGATCGTTTTTCCATACCTGCGATCTCGTTTGGTCTGAGCACGAATACTTTACGACGTCGTCGAGATTATTCTAGACTCATCGTTAATCGTTCGTCGTGCAGGTATCAATGGATGGCTTCAAACGAAGGCACACATTTCTGGCACGCTCACACCGGTCTGCAGAAAATAGACGGTCTTTATGGTAGCATCGTAGTACGTCAACCGCCTAGCAAGGACCCTAACAGCCATCTTTACGACTACGACTTGACTACTCACGTCGTTCTGCTCAGCGATTGGTTCCACGAGGTTGCGGCCGAACGTTTCCCTGGTCGTCTCGCTGTTAACACCGGACAGGCACCTGAAAGTGTCTTGATCAACGGAAAAGGACAATTTAGGGTATGAAATACGACGATGTTCCTCTAGTTTGTTTTTAGTTCTCTAATAAGGAGGATTTCTGTAGCCCACTCGCATGAAAGTTTCTTTTTTTTTGTTTACACAATGATGAGTCATATGTTGGAATACGTGGAACATTAGATGTAGGTACTCGACAATTCTGGGGACATTAGCAATTACAAGATGCATGCATACGCGTGTTGTGGATGTTAAAACTCACCAGCGAGATTCCAGAGATGCAGATGCAGAACCTAGTAATTATTCGGTGCGCTGCATGGTACTCCTCTGGTTGCAAGAGAAAATTGTACATTCCCGAATGAAAAAGAAAACACACGAGAATTTCAATGTAGCATGTGCGTAGCACGAGTGCTGCTATTCATGTCAGTATAATTAGCAAACAACAGGCACCGCCTGACTGTTTTCGTGTAATATCTAAACAATTTTCTTGTATTTTAATTCTTCCTGGAGTAGCGCACTTCTTTCATAACATATAATTTTGTGATAGAGTATATATTCACGTTGACAAAGTTCTATCAGAGAATGATCGATAACTTCCTAGTTAGGATGAAGAAGGGTATCTATCTTAGATACCTATTTTAGAATACGTGCTCAAGACAATATAGCTGTCACAAAATTTCCCTTACTTTCTTAACTCTCGAGTGCCTACACCTAATGATTTACAATTTCTGTCTTTTACCTCAGCAATCATAAACCAGAGTCTGCGCCTCATCTTAACTTCCAATTACCTCCGATACCTCAGGTTCCAATTTCCCCAGTAATTATTCTCGAATTGCAACGCCAATAAACAATACGAGTTGACAAATATCGTGTTTCTGTTGCCCGTAGGATCCCAACACCGGTTTCATGACGAACACACCTCTGGAGGTCTTCACCATAACTCCCGGTCGTCGTTATCGTTTTCGAATGATCAATTCTTTCGGATCGGTCTGTCCAGCTCAGATTACAATCGAAAGTCACACTCTAACCCTGATCGCCACGGACGGCGAGGTGGTGCAGCCAGTCAACGTGGACACCATCATCTCGTTCTCCGGTAAATCTTCGCCTCCTCGCCTAGTGATTTTTATTGCTCATTCAGCAGAAGGGAAAGCGCGAAATAAAAAGCGAACTTAATTATTCGTCGTAAAAGTGAAACGCTAACACCGTGATTTACAGGCGAACGATACGACTTCGTTATAAACGCGGATCAACAGGTCGGAGCGTATTGGATTCAAGTCCGCGCGCTCGGCGAGTGCGGTATTCCCCGTGCGCAACAGTTAGCCATAGTGCGTTACGCCCGCGGCCCGTACCAACCGGCTACCACGCCGCCAACTTACGACTTCGGACTTCCCCAGGGCGTCGTGAGTATTAACGCCATGCGAAGTGTTTTGAGATCTTTGCAGGCTTTGAGTCGAGTAGATGAAAGTTGGTATGAGTTGACGGAGATGTTGTGGAGTTTTCTAATTCTTATGATTTATAGAAATTGTATCTCTGAAAAGAAATTCCTTGTATCTGAACAATTTTTTACCTTCTTGAACACCATCTACAGGTTTTAAGTGCCAGCAATAGCTAACACGGAAGCCTATCGACACTTTTCCTTACCTAATCCAACGATGACACTTTTTCAACACAAAAATTTCACGTTTAGGTCTTGAATCCTCTGGACGCCATATGCGGCCGTCCTCGAGAGGACGCCGTTTGCGTGAACCAGTTGAAGAATGCCCGCCAGGTCGACCAAGGACTTCTCCAGCAGCGTCCAGACGTGAAAATATTCCTGCCATTCCGTTTCCTGTTCTACAGGCCAGAAGAAGTCTTCCAGCCGCAGACGTATAATCGATTCTTGGGTAAGAAACGGTGATTTCAAAATTTCGCCAACTTCGCTCGGAAATCGTCGCTCGGCTTTGTCAGAGCGCAGCATCTTTTTCTAACGTCTGGCGCAACCCAGGTCCCGTTGATCGCCGTTGAATCTGCTAAATCCGGAATTCAACGGTCCACGGAGTCCTATGAAAACGTCTGTCATTTCGCGTGTGATTCCAGTGGCACCGACCGGAGATCACGTAATTTCTCTCGTCGATGAAATCTCGTTCACGTTTCCGCCGGCGCCTCCGCTTTCGCAAATCGACGACATCCCGCCTGAACAGTTCTGCAACGGGGACAACAGGCCTGCCGACTGCGGTGCCAATTGCATGTGCACCCACCAGGTTGATATCCCGCACAACGCGGTCGTCGAAGTGGTCCTCGTCGACGAAGGTACGACTCATCTTCTGTAATAGTCTGCATCTCTATAAATGAATAACACAAGTGTCATCGTGTTTTCCAACGCATTGCTTTCACAATGCATTTTTATCAGAGTATATAATTAATTTAATCGGATTTTGAGATGAGATGAATTTCTCATTATAATTAAATAAAATTCGAAGAAACAAAATTCGACACTCGGTTTTTCACATGATTCAACTCTGTCATTTAATTTCCGCAGTACAACAACCGAATTTGTCACATCCCTTCCATTTGCACGGCTACGCGTTCAACGTGATCGGTATCGGTCGCTCGCCCGACAAGAACGTGAAGAAGATTAATCTAAAGCACGCGCTGGATCTGGATAAGAGGGGTCTCCTCAATCGACAGTTCAATTTGCCACCCGGCAAGGACACCATCGCCGTTCCGAACAACGGCTACGTAATTTTCCGATTCCGCGCAGACAATCCAGGTAAGCGAAAAACCCATAGAAAAACGTTTTCCCTCTTTCTTTCGAGAGTGTCCATGGAAAGCTTTAATTGAAATTCTCAGAGGTCAGAGTACCATATACTGAAAAAATTATATTAAAATTCATTTTGTAGGATTTATTATATGTTAGTATATTTATAAAATACTGACTTAACTATTAACTAAAACTAAAATGAATAGAGTCCGCTCAACTATCCGCTCTACGTTAATTCGCACCGTCTTTTCCCTTCGACCGCTCAACTGAATCTGTCCCTCGACGCTTCTTTCTTTACCTCCCCTTAAAGTCAAGCACTGCCAGGGTTTTTCCCAGGCAGGGGAACATTGTTCTAGGCAGCCTCGCCGAGGCGCGCCTGGACAACATCAGCCCAAGTGGCCAGGTCGTAAATTAAACTAAACTAAAGCTACGTTACAATATCCTTATACCTATCCTATAACTAACGCTCTCTCACGCACATGCACACATTCCCACTCCTACAATTTTGAAGTATACTTTTTGTTTACAAATGAGTAAAATGAAATAATGAAATAGATTCTATTACTACTGGAACGAAGAAGAAACAGTATGTAATACAATAATTCACTTTCTCAACCTTTCAATTTAATGATGCCCTCTTCAGAAGAATAAGCTGTTACATAAGTACTATTCTCATTCCCAAATGAATATGTTCCCAGTGTGGTGTCTCCATCCTGTTGTCCATTTTCGTCCTCCGCTTCCTGCTTAGTTGCCTAACAGAGACTACGTATGGCGAATCGAGTGCAAACCAATTGTTGCTTTTCTTTACCACATTCACTAATATCCCATGTCTACGTTATCCGTGTATTTCAAACGTAGCAAATTTCTCATGTTTATGAATTGATTTATAGGAAAAGTTTACAAGGGGGCGTTAGGAATTGTTAGAGCTGGTTTTGATAATCTTTGCGCGAACGTTGGTTGGTTCAACGATAAGGGATATTTCTGGTGCGACGTTAGCAAAATAGCACACATTATAGGAATTTTGTTCAGAATCGATAAAAAGAAGAATGATATTAAGCTTTTTTCTACTAACAGTATTATTCAAAAAGAGTATAAACATATTTTTGTAAATGCTTTCCTTCTTTTTTTATTAAAAAAATATTCCGTTCTGTACGATATGTAATTTTTATTTTATAAAGAATATTACAGCGTTATGTCTAGGACTCCTTAGTCGAACTCACAGATATAGCTTATCTAACGGATCCTGCCTCGGACGTGATGCTATTACTCGTTTGTTAATCAGTTCACGAAAACTCGATATTGTATTACTGCCTAATTAGGTTCAGCAGATTATCTAAGATTAAGTGAAATCCAAGACTGGAGCTGCACGAACAAGAAATATTGATCATTATCATTTCTTTCTTTCCAGGATACTGGCTGTTCCACTGTCACTTCCTCTTCCACATACTCGTCGGTATGAACTTGATCCTGCACGTGGGTACGCACGCGGATCTGCCACCAGTGCCACCAAACTTCCCCAGATGCGGGGACCACTTGCCCCCCATCACGCCGCCGTCGCTGTCGTTGGACTCGTTTCACTGATCGTTCCTAGATGGATGCTCAGCGATCGAAGGCAGTCCAAAGCATACACGATGTTTTTAGCGTATTCCTGTAAATTAGTCAGTATGCTGTGTAGCGAATCGTCGTAGAGCGTTTACACGAAAATGAGACCTAGCCGTGGTCCCCAAAATGTGCAATGCGCAAACGAAAAGGTAAACAAGTCAGGCGAAAAGAAGTTGGGAGAGTAGACGCCGTTTTTTGGCGTAGCAACGACGGTCGTTCCGCAGACGGCGACGACCACGTATTGCCAAGAGTCGATATTTATTATGTCCTGGATCAACTCTATTCCGATCAGAAGACTTCGACTAGTCTCCGCGAGACTTGACGAGGGTTTGGACGCGCGAATGTTACTAACCATTGTAACTCTGTACATAATGTAGAAATAGTCGTTTAATGAGACAATAACGTGGAAGCATTGTTGGGGTGTAGGCAGAGATGGGCTGAATTTTCTTCGATTAATAGACGAACAGGGACTAGCATGGAAATTTCATTCATTGAGTCTACTAGTTATCCAAAAATCATTTGAATTTTATTCCTTCTATTTGTTTTTAAGAATTGCAATCGATCGCTGTTAGGGGTTGTTTGATCCCGCAAAATAAATATTAAGTTGTTTTTAAAGTCTAACGCGTGGGGTACAGTTTGATCGTATAATCGAGATTGTAACGTGAACGAGTCACGAGTTGTTTATTTTTATCCGAAACAATGTACCTAGACGAGAATTCTGTCCATCTCTGGGTAAAAGTAGCGCTCAAGGAGGAATCTGCGAGACAATACACGCCAAGAGACCTTTCACTGGTGAGTTGGTCGATCGGCGATCATTAGGGAAACGCTGTTTAAGGAAACTCGATCCGTTCGATCCAGATGATCGCGGCTGGTCCCTGAAACGAGACAGCGCGATATAAGCAAGAAGCTTCGCTGGATCGCGTCCAGGTTCCTAAAGTGGCCGTAGTTAGGGAGGAAATTCGTGCCCGTAACTGGTGCACGCGGCTTTCGTTCTTGTCCTTGTCAGCCTTTTTCAAGTAGTTCAATTAGGGTAACCGTAGCCATTGCCTAATAAGTGTAAAGTGGAATAAAAAAATGAGGAAAAATGCAAAAAATATCCGTAGAATTTAGCGTCAAGGAAGACAGGAGAAGCCTCAGTGGCGCGACCGGAAAGGAGCTCCTTACAGAATTTAAAAATTATTGTGTAATAGTTATCTAACATTCATGGAAAAGTGTCTCCCTGTCTTCTCTATTTGAAATTTCTGATCGCGTCACTGCGAGGCGTCAAAAAGATTGCTACAGCCTGTAAAAAATGTTCCGATTCTGAGCTCTTACCGAGGCTGTACAATCAGTTTGTCGATCCATTCGCTATTTACCCCCTTGAGTTCGAAGTCATGATGTTAGGCTCGCGTTAACACGTCTTAAAGTACCCACACAGTCTATGAACAATCTAGAAACACACACCCTACTAACCTTCTCATTTGTCGAAATATTGGGTTGTCTAGAAAGTTCGTGCCAATTTTTAAGAAAAATTCAAAGACGTTTGAATTTTGATATAAATTTATTGTATTACACAACCTTTCCACCTTTTAACACCTTGATTGCCAAACAAATATTCTTGACAATTTCTGCAAGAATTGAATATTATTTAGATTATTGGAGACTACATAATCAAACATTTATCGTGGTATTTATTTTTGTAACTTCATCAAAATTCATGAATTTTATTTAAATTCCTTTGTTGCTCAACTTTCAGAATTATTTCTTTGCGTGCTTCAAGTTTGTACACTTGTTATTTGTTTTCAACCATTTCGATATATTCAGACCTGTACGACCTACCTAAAATCGGCATGGACTTTCCAGACAAACCAATACTTTCTACCATACGCCAAGCTGGGAAAATATTCAAAAAAAGTCCTTCACCCTCTAACACCGTACATGAGCCTAATCATCATAATTTGCTCGAACTAGGCGTCGAATTGATGCTGGAACGATCATTCCGCGCGTCTTACGTGCGCAACCTTTTCCAATCGAAGGGCGGGCGTCGCGTCGTCGAGCGTCGCGTCGCGCCGTGTATAGTTGTACGTTTATTCATGGTGCCTCCGTTTCCTTTATCGCGGATAGAGAATACATCTTACAGTTACTCGCAACTCACAATTAACGCTTTAGTGCTCGTCCGCTCGTCGATCGTGGCGCTGCGCAGGTGCAATTGCACGGGTGCACGTGCGCCTCGTCACGAACCGCACTTTGTAGATAAAGCCCTCTGGTTCGTTTCGCTGAATACACACGACGGAACCATTAAAACACGAAATACTCGATCGCGACGACCCGCGCAGCCATCGAGCACAAGAACTAACGAGCAAACGTTTCACCATTTAATTGTCACCGAAGTTGGGCAAAATTTCATTCGATCAAGTACTACGATAAGCTTTCGTTCGTTCAATGTGAGACACCATTTCCATAATTGAATCTTTGGGTTCTATTCAGTCAATAGCGACTAAAACATTCTAATTCAGATTCAATCTACTACAGAACGAATGAACGCCCCAGAATCTCACCTGACTAACTCTTGTACATACTTTAATAGTAATCACTTTAAAAAATCAAACAATTTACACTAAATTAAATTTCACAGAGTGTATCAGCTCCGTCATCAAGCCAACATACAAAACGTTTAATTCGTATCAGAATTTTGCCCATCTCGGATTTGAACACGTCTCAGTTCCATCACTATTCGTCACGTGGAATGAAACGTTTCTATTGTTGCACGGTTCGCTTCGAAACCCGCTCCGCAATTTATTTCGCGTAACCTGCGAGGCGAGACAGGAATCCGTTCGACAGCCAGGAACGTTCTCCCCTATGCCGTCGAAGATGAACCTTTAATTGTCGGTTAGGCGAGATTTTGGTGGATGATTTCGAGGATTGTTGAGAGTCTGCATGTTAATTGGACAGGCTCGAAGGGTGGGTTATCTGGAACGTTGAGGTACGTTCTCGTTGGGAGTAGCTGTCGCAGTAGAACGTACCTGTCGTTAGTCAGACGTTCCTCTAAAATCGATCGATATTTAATTTTTAAGAATTTGCTCGCTCGAACGACGAACATTAAATCGTCAACTGCGCCAACGTTCGATTTAACCGATGTCCTTTAACATCCCTTCATTATGCATAACATGGTTGTAAATCTACGTTCGTTTTTTCTTAATTTATTTAATTATCTTTGATAAAGATGTACAGACGTGCCTTTTAGTATACCCGTACCGCGAGAAATTCATTGTACGAGCGATCGTTCGTCGAACTTTATCGGATATTCGTCTACTGGTTCCGTTTCTTGAACGTTTTTATCGTCGGTACAACGAGAAAACTTGCTCGTACACGATCCGACTGTTCGTTGTTGGAATTCGAACATCTTTTGTATACTTATTTATGTAACGAAACGCTTAAGAGTTTCAACAGTTATTATGTGCACATGAGGATGAGTTTTCGTGTTTTTGTACAGGTAGTATTTAAGCGAGTAATTCGCGTATACTCCGTTATCAGATAAAAATGTACATTTAATAATAAATTTGTTTTTAGAAGCTCGACTATCTTTTCAGTTCTGATTAAAATGATCTGCCTTTCCCGGTATCTTAGTAAAATTATTTATATGTATCCCACATATATAAAAAATTATCACATTTATTAATTTATTTCACACATCATTTATCCTACTAGTATCAGAAGTGAATCCCAAAAATTTAATAAGTTGATTTATATTTCAATAACAGAGAAGGAATCTTAAAATTTTTAAACAAATTTACTTCTTAATATTGTCAAGTTTTAGCGTCTTGGAACGAGTTATCTTGAAACGTAGTTCGTGTTTTTAATTATAGTTTGCCGCGTTGCAGCCTTGCATACATAAGTCAGCCTTGGTAAAGTATTCAGCACAACGAGACGAACGATACGCGTGTCTCCTTACGTGATACAACGTATTCATGAATGTTGCGTACCGTCAGGGCCGCATACTTTTACTCACAATTTGATCCCACTAACAAGTGGAGATTTAATTATTCAATAACAGTCCAACTAATTTTTCTATTAGAGCAAACAGAACGTAATGTCGTCTTTGCGAATGTCAATACTAGTTTATCATTTATCAGCTCACTCTCTAGCAATTAATTTTTATCGATCTGGCATTAAAAACTTGTGCACTAAACAGCAAAAGGTTGTTGGTAACGAGGGCGATTACAGAATTGATTAAAAGTAATTACTTGTTACTAATTTATTTGTTTGAATTTAATGTAAAAGAAACGACATTACTTTCTGGTCCCCTTAATACGTACTTTTAACAACTAGTGAGAGCAGAATGTGATTTTTCCAGTCAGGTAGAAGGTACAATGAACAGTTCCCAACATTTTCCAAAATTTGTAATATATTTATGGATCATGTAATCGTAACTCATTGGACATGGAATGTTTGATTGAGCCATTAGAGTAACTAATCCTATCAACGACCGAGCGATGTCAATGTCCGATTAATTCTCTGTCACTGTCGCTCTGCTTCGCAAATTTTTGTACAATAAATTTCGCTCGTGACGATAACACACCTAACTGGACGGTATAAAACTATGCTAATTTTGACGATACAAGCGCGTGAGCATGCGCGTGTCGCTGGTCACGAAGGATGATTCCCGATCAAATGAATTTATGTACAAAAGCGTTACCGTTTGATTCTTCTTAATTATGTACGATGTTGCGCAACGTTATAAATGCTAAGTACCTAAATTTATGACTAAAATATGATACATATACGATCTAGCGGAAGAACCTTCTCCTGGACTAAGACGCTAAAAACGAGCTCAACGATTGCGATATTTCAGCGTATGAAACACGATCGACAGCGTGTCAAGAAAATTTGCGATCGATTATAATCGTCAATGCTCTTCAAAATCCCTGGTACAGGCGTCCCGTCTCATTGAGAGAAGGAGAAGACAACTATATTGATGCTTGAACATTAGTACAAAAATACTCTGTAAGGCAGGAATTGTTTAACCTTTCTGTGTACGTAATATATTAGTAGTAACTATTAGGGACACATCAAGTCACGAAGATCGATTCTCAACATCGTTCGAAGCGCAAGTTGAACAATTGAATTAGTAAACGATACGAGCATCCATTTTCATTATAAATTCCATTTACATCCTGTCCTGCTAAAATTCTTTTCCATTTTCGTTGCACATCCATCATTTACCGTGTCACCCTATCAATCATAGCAGCTTACTCGTGTTGCGCGTTTTCGAGTCGAGGGTCGACTCGTATCGTACGTTATTTCGTTATTGATCGACAGTTTGTTTTCGAACAGTGTGAGCGGCGATTCCGACGAATCCGAATGTACTCGTTGCAAGTGATTGCATTGTTAAAACAGAGCTTGAAACGCGAATATCAGGACATTAAAACGGAAGTAATTGTTCGTTCTATCATTTCGTTAAGTAGCTAATCCGGGGTGTATTATTTTCCAGAATAATGGGAACCGATGTTCGACGGTGGCCCTCTGTGATGATGGTGGTGCTTCTGGCCGGGTCCAGAGTATCTGCTTCCTGGTCTGGAGTGAACTATGGCGTAGTGATCGCTGTTCGTCGATATCGACCTCGTGGAGTTCATCGTCGATCCTCCGGAAGCGTATCCTTGCTTCCCGTTTAAGGAGTACCTGGTTACAGACAGCGAAACGGTCAGGATCTAATTAAAATTTTCAAATCTCATCTGAATCTTTCTTTTAAGCCTTCTATTTCATGATATTAGTAATAATTATAGCCACGCGCAGTTGCTAAAATCACCCTGTATAGAGAAATGTATTTCGTCTCCCTTTTATTGTATTTTATTATTCTCTTAATCCTTTCAAGTCTAATGGGCGGCACTGAGGCCTTTGTTGAGTGAATTGCACTTAATGTTCGAAGAAAGAAATTATTTCTTGATTAGTTATGAGCCTGTGAATTAATTAATACTGTATCCGAGCAGTAAGTGGCTGAGCCAGCTAGCCTATTAGATATCCCCACAAGAAAGCATCGTGCCGCTAATCCCGTAAAATGGCCTTACTGAACTTTACTGCGATCGTCTTTATTGGGTTTCTGATCGGGCGCATTATGCAGCAGAGGGTTAACTCTAGCAGCTAAAGGTTAAATAACCTCTATCTTAAATTAGATAAGCATCTAAGTAGCACTAAAGTAGCATTTACTATTTTTTTGTTCTGTATGAAAAATATTTTATGTACTACTGATGTGTGTCAGTCGATTCCCCGTTCATAAAACAGTCCCCAATTATCAGAGTCGGTTTTATGCATCAGATACGTGAAAGAAGAACTGAGAACAAGAAACCATGTCCTCAAATCCCAGAACATGACTCGTATTAAAAAGATCTTGATAAAATGTGAATATTAATTCAATACGCATAAAGAGAGAAAGCAGAACCGATACTATTATGACAACTGCATTCGTTTTACAAATAACCTCATCAGAGATGCAAGTCTCATGCTGGGAGTAAAACGTGGTAATCTTTTCAGTAATCCATGTAATACTGATTGACAGCCTAATTAATCCTCTGCATAATGTGCTCGACTGAAGATGCAATAAAAACAGTCTCTGTTACAATAAGATAATGATGTTTGCTTTTGTATGTTTTCTGATGGAATAATGAATAAATGTCGATCCTCCAGGGATAGCTCAATAAATTATTCCACTATTTGTTTCGTTTGTGCATCAACGTACTCGGTATCATTCGTTCAAACTTTGTCCAGTTAATTATGAAACTTCTACAGGAATCGTAAATAATCTAATAGCTTTGCAAGCTTAGTCATTTAGAAATTATAGAATAAATAAAAATCCAAGAAACAGTTTCTTTTTCAAAAGATAAAGTAAAATTCGTGCAACAAGGGGGCAATATTTATTCCTTGTCTATCTGACAATGATTTGCATTTATCACTCGAAAATTTCTTTTACGTACACATTTTTAAACATTTCAACCGCAGGTGCAGCAGAAGTAAAACGAAACCCAGAAAGAATGAAAATCAAACCTCGAGCCATATTGAGAACCATGCCAGCTACGATACGGATCGTAATCTTCGATGATCGATGGTTCCTTCTCGATGATATCGGTCCTGGTGCAACTGCAGGTCATCGCGGAGCAGAGGAATATGTTGATAATGAGCATGATGAGGAACAGAATACCAAGAGCCACGGCCAGCCACAGCAGCCATAATGGGTGAATGGTGCCGTCCTCGTACAAATTTTGCGCGGCTATTAAACAAGAAGCATCGATATTGAGACCTATTAATCGTCCTGGTCGAAGATTGAGGCACGTCGAGGAACGAGCTAATTAATGGGGTTGCGTTTACATGGAAGGCTCGAAATAAAACGTACAAATGCATAAAATAATATATGTGATAGCAAAAATATATATATCGTATAACAAAATCATGCAAAATATGTGGCAAAATCCTGTAAAACAAATGACACCTTTCAAACTATACTAGAACTATCGTGGCAGTCAATAGAACGAACACATTTCAAAATTCTTTTAAAAATCACCCAATTATTAATACAGTGCTGTTGCCACGATATTTGACGATATTTGATAATGATGATCAAAACACAGAATGAATTATACCCATAAAATTATACGGCTCTACCTCCAATAAATTCAAAGATACAGAAGCATCCATAACAGTTACGCATCCACGATAGTTCCAGCATAAATCGATGAAGCGGAAAAATGCGAGCGCAATTTTCGTTACGGTATCGGTTTATCGTAGGAAGCGGCGTATGAAAAGTACGGATGGAATATTTACATGGCGTTTGACCAGGGTCAAGAACGAACACGCTCGTGCTGGCAAGAAGCACTCCTTCCTCGCCGCTCACGCTTTGGCCATTAATTAAAGACGCTCCCTTTATTTCTTCCTCGTTATCGCCTTCGCAAATAGGGATACCGCAGCTTCCTGGAGGATAGAAGATTAACGTTTCGCGTATTCCACCTGTTATCTGCGTGCCGTAATTTACCGTTCGACACTCGATCGAGCGTGGCGAAACATTAAAATCCATCGTCTTGAAGAAAAAAAAAGAATGAAAAGTCTTCCACAAGCGAACCTCAGGTGACGCGGGCTCGCTCGAACGTCGAACGTATCTGATATCGGTAGGGGATACTTCCGAAGGGGAATATGTTAATTCCTAGGTCGAGTTGAACGGCACACTGTGACCCAGATGTCGGCACGCAGCTGTAATCGGGAATCACTCGGCGAATCAGTTTACATACCTCTGCACACAGCGATGTCGCATTGAAAATGCACTTGCGGGCTGTCAGGAAACCGGAACATCGAGAACAATGTCGCATCCGCCAGTCCCGTGTTCCGATCGTACATGAATTTCGTCACGACCCAAGCCTTTACGGGACACCTTTGTCATGGAACAGGAATGTTACGCAATTGGTTATGATCGTGGATACGAATCGATTCGGTGTCGTGGAAGTTGTGATGGAAAATACCAGTGAGTGCTGATTTTATTGGTCATCGACCAATATAGAGTGAAGGAGAGAAGAGAATGAACTCGTACTCTCTGTGTTTATCAAAGAAGTTTGTTTAAATGAAATGGCAGGTTTGATGTCTCTAAATAAACTTTTCATTATAGACACATATAAAATTTATTTGTGTACATATTTATTATAGAAAATTTATTTGATAACATCAAACCAAATTTAATCAAATTTCCTCAATAGACATAGAGGGTCCGAATATTTATAGGATTGACCGAGGTCCAGTATAAATTAAAATAGTCTTTGTTGCAAACTGAGTAGTATGTAGAGTTTGAGTCTCATCTAGCTGAATTTCAGATAATAGTGGCATTGCATTTGAAAGGACGCCGATTAAAATGAGACGAACGTTAAACGTACCCTTTGTCGTCGATCAGCTGGACGCTGCTGTTTCGTTTGTTGAAAGCGAAGCACGATTTCACTTTAATTCCGTACATTCCTGCAAAGGAAAAGATTGATGAAAGTGCATCACCGGCATGCCCGGACGTTCACGGGCGAACGCGTTTACGCGCTTGCTCGTTAATTCCAATTAAACGTAAGGGGTGAAAATGGAGTGAGAGATGCGGTACGAACCATCTGGTCGCGAGATCTCCGCACGCAAAGTATAGTTGTGACCATAAATAGCCTCTTGCACTTTGTGGCCTCCGTCGAAAAGGCGCAACGATACTAACGAAGTTTCATTCCTGCGCAGAAAATTATCGCACCGTGCGAAATTATACCCTCGCTTGCCAGGCCGTAGCGCCCGTGATTTTAAGAGATACGAGCTAATATTAATAAACGTTATATGTACTTCGCATTTTTGAATCCGGCTTTTCCGCACGTAATAACGTAAAATTTATCGTCAGCTAGCTCCAGGGTCTTGTGTATCCGCACCACGATGGAGATGGAACGTTCCTCGTTGTCCTGCAAAAATTACAACGGGATTAAGGGGAATTTGTTGCCAACGCGTGTCTTCGTATGTATGTGTGATTGAACTCGAATGGCTAATAATCCGAAATGCAAATTTCAACGTTGCGGGTGGTGAACGAAACGCAAAAATAATTTATTTCAATTCTCTTATCAAGATCCACGTCCTTTTAGATAACTATATATATACCACTGCTAAACTAGCTGAATATTAGTATCATAAAATATAATTTTCATTGTACATGTACATCTAGCTTAAATTTCCTGCCTTTATTATGTCACAATCTTAACAGCCACTCAACATTCTTGAACATTTCTATTACAAGTTTATTGTTCTCTAAACATGATTAAGTATTGGTCTTCACCTTTCGAATGCCTTGCAGCCCCTCGACAAAATTAAAAGATCTGTGACTTGGACAGTTGTGTAATGTTTCACCTAAACGTGTAGTAAGTGCGCGGAGTAAGTTACAAACATGCTGACGTTTGAATATTTATCGTGAACGTAGATCATGCACTTACGTTATTTACCAAGACGCCGCAGTAATCCGGAGATCCTTTGGCCGCCAGGAGATTAATGGCGAGAGTCGCGTGTGTGGAGCCATTTCCGGGCGCCATGCACTGCGGCGTCCGAAAATCTCTGGCGTGTATAGCTCCTACAAAACTCTGATTTAGATTCACCCGTATCGTCATGTGGCCGCCTTTGCATGTCGCTGTGACCGTCGGCTGGAACTCCGTGTCCAATAATTGCCCGCTGACCTGTGATCGAACAAGAACGAGATTGAATGCCACGGAATTCAACGATAACCACGTTTCGAGGAGATGTCGTCATTCAAAGGATGCTGGGAGCATCATTTCGTAATGACATCGGATGTGTGGCGAATAACGATTAAACAGATATATTCGATGCTGAACTTAATGAAAAATTTGAGTTATTCAACGTTAAACAGGCGCAATTATTACTTTCTGAAGCAAATTGTGTTTGATAAAATAGGTAGAACATGTTTCATACAGTAAACACTTTTCCTTCATGTTTGTTTCATTTTATGTGACTTATTGCAATTGTTGTAAATTAACCCTCTATGGACTCGTGTATCTTCAGGTCACATGCTAATATATCGACATTGTACCAAATATTTTTAAATGTTTCACAAGATGAAGTATACGTCTTAATTGTATACTGATAACCAATAACAATATTAATGGAAAAACCTAAAATATTAAACTAAATGCCTTACAAATCGTTTGCAGAAGAAAACAATTTGGTCCAAAGAGGCTTAAATTGATTGAAGCCAATATTTTTACAACAACTCATGAGACTGTGCCTATATACACGCTAAATTGGAATGAAAGTCCATATATGGAAGTTCACTTACAAAAATATTATACTAGATAAAATTGAATGTTGTCCAGTACAGTCTAACAATAAACAAAAATTTTATTCCATTAAAAATCTGGCCACTTTGAACTATCCAATAGACGTCGAGAGTGTTTCTTGATAAAATCAATATTTATGAAGCCCCCGAAGAGGTTGCAGATACAAGCCCCACTCTGCGCATTTCTCTTTATATAAGCGCACTTTCCATACGTTACGAACCCAATATAGCTAAGTGAAATTTGATAAAAAACCGAGAACAGGAAATATCCCTACCGCGAGGCAATCAATATGAAGATGATACATTAATTTCTTGCGCTCTATATTTTTTCCATAACGACTTCCAGCGGGTGCACGTTCGATGCATCATCGAGGAGATCATGGGAATCTCGATCGAAGGAGAAGAATGTATCGCGTGGCAATTAATATTAAACATACTCGGGCTAACTAGTCTGCCAGGTTTAATTGTACACGGTTAATTGCAGCGTTCCCGAAAAAAACGCGCATTCCAAGCGCCTTCATCCTTCGATCAACTACAAGTTATTCAATTAATTACTTGCAACCGGTACCCACTGCGAGACTCTAAGTTTCGATGTATTTTTAAAAAATTTCAATTTCAGAAGGAAGATCACGTTTGCTATAGGAGCAAATTAATTTCCAGGTATTGTAGACCCAGACGGTCGTCGACCGAGGTAAAAATTCTCAAAAGTTTCCTTGTTCTCGGTGGTCAGGGTAGTCGTAAACCCTAACCATATAGACACGAGACCCTAGGGCAGGGTTCTCAAGCGAAGATCGCGATAGATAACCGCAAAAATTCCACTTTTCGCGTCAGCGTGCGTGCCTATCGGCGATCCAGGGTGTCGAGGACCCCGGGGGAACGAAAGCTGGCGATATTTCCTCGGTCCAATCGGCAACTTAATGCCCAAGTAAACTTGGGACCGGTCTGGGCGGTAGCTATCGACCCACGCTAACTTTCAATTTCATGTGGCTGGACCACTTCGCGGCGCGGATAAGGTATATACGTGTGCACGAGGAATGTCCAGCGGAGCCCCGACGGATACGCCAACAATAAAATCGGCCCTGGCTCTCGCGGAGATGCTGCGACGAGCAATGGCCACTCTCGAGACAAAGGTCTGGACGTAGGCGTTCGCAAGGCCACCAGTCCTAAATGCTTCGGTGGCCTCTCCGCGAAGAGAACGATCGTGTTGGGTTACAGAAAAGGATTCCTTCTCTCGTGGATGGCTAATCGATTATGAGAACACGACATGGTAACGTATACGCGCGTCCTTGCGTTTTGCCAGCTGCTCCTTTTTTGGTCTCAATGCTCTCCGTGCAGTCCCTATGCCTTGTCCCGTCTATTCTGCTATCCGCGGGACACGCTGACTTTCTTTGTCACCGTGACATGGCGGACGACGATATGTACTTAGCGATTCTTTGGAATTGCTTCGTACCGTTTGTCGGAAGACCTTCGCTGATGTAGATCGTTAAACTATAATGCCTTGGTATATCAAGCGTGAAAGGCTGTTTTAATAAACATAATCGTTTGAATGTTTTGAGTTGCTCTTTTTAACAAAACTCTGCATCTGGAGTAGATCATTGATTTTCGTCTAGTTTCAACTGGAGGAGTTCAAACACTTTTCTACTTTAAAGATTATCGTATCATTATTGCGTGTATTTATTATTGTATTACTATTTGTGTTAAAATAATTTAAAAGTATGTTCTAGTTTACGTGATCACTTATGACTGTTATCTTACTAGCAGTCTGTCGTGAATTTGTATTAATTTCACAATCGGCTTCGAAATAAATCCCAGTAATTACGACGCAGTGATCGCTATTTATTCATTTACGACTCGTGACTGCGTCAATTGGAATTTCTCACAGCATCGTTGAGAGCGCGGGCTCATGACTGGTGGTTTTGCGTAATCAATGCTCTCGGTTTCGATTAACAAATAGTTAAATGAAACATGAAGAAACCAATCAGAGGCCTTCCGTTTCTATGCAAGAAGGTCCCGGAATCCGAACGAATCGCAAGAAACGCAATAATCGTATCCATAACCGCGGTCTCTAATTTCCGACTGGAACGAGAGTCACGGCAAGGATGTATAATTAGTATGATTCACAATCGCTGAGCTGCTCGGGCACGCAACATTTGATACTTCACGAAATCTGTTACTCCTTGCCATTGATGGGAAATTGTTTGACGTTCGCGTGCTGGTAATCAGGGATAGTCAAGATTCCTATCGAATAACATGCCATGAATGGAATAGCAACTTTATAAACAGGTTTTTTAATCTGAACAATAATTGTTTAGTATATCCACTTAAATTTACATTTTCATATGATACAGAATCTATAACTTTCAGAATATATCATTTTTCTATAAAAGACGAAGTACATACGTCCTTTCAAATGATTTTCAAAGCAGCTTACAAGAAAATCTGAATCTACGGAATAATCTGCATCCTGGTCTATGCAAATGAGACTTAAATGAAGCGCGGTTCCGGTGCGGTCTTTCGTTAACGTAGACTTTCTTCGACGAGACGTAAAAGGAGGCTCTGGAACACACCCTCCCGACATTAACGGCGTGACGTAATGATCATTCTCGTCCAGGCATGTAGGAACATAGACGACAGTGGAAATAAGGCGCACGGTGACATCACGGAACCGGCGCTTATATAAACGAAAGTTAGCGTGGACCATGGTTGTATAACTCGAAGCCTCGACGACGAATTTCGCGTGGGATCGATACTAGAGATAGGATTATTCACGTTATTCAATATTCAAGTATATAGTAGATATCTATGCTATAAATCACACTTTGAAGATTTAGATACTCAAACATCTATCAGGATACTATCAGGATACCACAAGTACCTAGATATTACGATCAGGATATCATCACTTCTATGCGGTCTCAGGCTACTTACACGCTCTGAGAATAGAAACACATACCGGGCTACTCACACATCTCTAACAAAATTCGCTAAACATTGAAACTAGCTGTCAGATATTCAAACCCCAGAAAATTCAACGAGTTCTCTTAGATGACTTTGAAGGCAACCCTGGAGTGGATCGCTCGCGATGTAACCGACTAACGAGTGACTTTGCTCGTCGACGGAGAAAGCAACAATTAGCGGTCGCGGACGCACGCCCGGTCACGGAATAGAATAATTCATGTACAAGGGACCGTGGCGGACAAGTGGCCACTTAGTAATTCGCTACGATAGAATGTACATTATCGGCAATCGGCGGGGCGGGCGATAAATCACGATTTTTCGCGACGAAACCGTCCGCGAGAGTGAGCGTGTACGTGCACGGCGAGTGCACGCGCGAGCGCGCGAATTTTACGCGTGGATAGCGGCAATGTATCAAGATTTAATCCGACCGTCTCGTGGCCGCAATGTTTCAACACATTCCGATAGTACACACCCATCGGGAGAGTATACGAACCGCAGGAACGAGGGCGGAACAGTATCGACTGTGAAGCGGCTCACATTTTTGGGGACTCGATGAAATATAAATGTATAATAAATATACTCGATTTTCATATAGTTTATATATGAAATATATAAACCTATCGTGACGCTCGACGTATTCCAATACTACGTGTCTGTTTTATCGGATGCATTCGAATGATACCCCACGATGCATGCGGAAATTTCAAGGGTTGGAAAAAATTCGTATTTTTATGTATTTATCAATGAGTTTTTTTTTTATGCTAACCCTACCGACGTCCATTTGTTATTATTTCTATCGTGATGGGACTAGTCTACGTTTGATAAATGTAAAAGGAAAAAATATTTTTTAAAGTAAAATGGTAGTCAGATTCTTATGTTTAGTTGTGCCACTGGTTCACTATTTTTTTTACTAAAACTGTGTCCAATTGTAAAATTTTATTTTTAATGCATCCGAAAAGGACCACGTTATGGTTTACATTATAAAGTAACGATCAAGGCGCAGAAGAAGGATTCTCAAGGGATACACAAAGACAGTACGATGAAAACCTGCGATGTGCCACATAGATAAATGATTCAGTAAAAGTAGTCGTGTATTACGACGTCTTCCTTAATCAGAGATTCCTTAGCCGTTTCATGCAGTAAATCTCGAGTTGCGTAGGAGAAACGCTATCTCCACTCGAGCACATTATGCCGTGTACGACTTGAAACATAATAGAACTGAATGCGAGGGCCGTCTGCGAAGTTCCACGATGGATCTTTTTGAAACGTACACTTTCACGTCTCAATTTTTCTTTCGAACCGTGCGCAAATTTCAGAGCGGCCGCCAGAACCGGTGCAGTCTGCTTTCACTTGCACGCTTTCGGGTTTCGAGAGGTAACTGGCATAAAAGTGGGAGGAGACGATGAACCATCCGATCAGATAACG